AGTTACCAAGGTACTTATCTTTCTGAAACTGGAAGAAGATGTCATCCCCAGCAACTCAGAACCAACCAAGAAGTTTCCTTCCAACTTGCACTTGAGACACTGAATTGCTCTCTATTTCACTAGCGTTTAAGAGATTCCAGGTCCTAATTTTCTGATGTGTTTAAAAATAACCAGACATTTCTTTGGATAATTCAGCAAACAGAATGGCTTATCTACCATGGATTTGGCATAGATTGAAACAGGTAACATTTAGCTCATCATCCCTAAACTCAGGTCATCTTTAACTTGATCGTATTGCTCAGACACTGAGCAATGCAGGTGAACAGATGACTCATTCAGTGATTAATAAATTCCAATACAGTTGTCATCTGCAGTGAAGCTTAAACACTGATTGCTGAACATCAAAGCTCTGCAAAAGCAAATAGGCAGAATCACATTAATTAATGAGGTTTTGCAAACTGGAGCTGCTCCCAGCTTCTTCAGTGCTAGCCTGAAAAATGATGTTTATTGTCAGAGTTTATTCCTTCTGTTCATAACGAGTCACTCTTCAGCTGAAGTATACACCCACAGCATTGATCATGCACTGCAAGACAAGTCAACAGATGATGGTTTCCCTTTAACTAGTTTGAACAGGATCTTGTGTTTGAGCATAGATTCAACAAACATTTAATAGTGTCACTTTCTCAGCATTCCCTGTATTTAGGTACAAACTGCTGCCTTTTTTGCTAATGCTGACATACTTAGGAAACAGCTGTAGTACTGACACCCAGCTGGTGCCAACAATGCAAGTCAAACAGGCTGTCTTGCAGTTGGAAGGTTTCCTTTTGGTTTAGCAGATTTTCCCCATGCCATTCTTATTTCTATATCCATGCACCATTTTTCTGTGCTCAGGATCAAGCTTATTATCTATGAAATGTTCTAGGACTTTGAAACAGGCCTCATTCCGTACATAAAGCATCTTCCCTGTCAATACCCCAACCTGAAACAGCAGTTGGAGGCAGGAGCAACCAGGTCACAGTTTTAGCTGTTTAAGATAAAGTAGTAGATGGAGGAACGGATGCACATTTTACCCTTCAAAGTTCATGCAGAACAGGCTGAAACAACACCAGCATTCCTGCCAACAGGCTTCACTCTTTGCCTGACAGAGTATCTGTCATCCAAGTACCTTATATCTTCCCTTCAGCTATGTATTAAATGCTGTATTTTGCAACTTGAGCATCAGCTACAGTTGGAGACAAATCCACCACTCCAGACTGTTCAGAGCAGCCCATGGAAACAGCAGATTTTCTTGGTCATTTCCCCTGTGTGAGTGCTCTGCAACTCACTCCACTGGAAAACTGCTAAATATACCTCTTTGCAGAGCTACTCCTTTCCACATACCTTGGAGATGTCAGGATGTTTCTGTATAGGAAATGAGAAGTGGTTGAGGCTAATCTGAAGCAGGTCTGAAAATGAGCAAGTACACTTATGGCATTTATGTTTGACAGATCCCTCCTGGCAGTTGTCATGTAGGTCCCACATCTCAAGCAATCATTGTAAAGCCCTAAAATGCTCTTTCAAAGAACATATGCACTTCTGAAAAGGCTTTTTCTGTGGGTTTTTTCAGTGGGTTTTTATCCTGTTTGTTTGTTTGAATCAATAAAGTGGCTCTGAAGATAAAAAATGTTTCTGGGCTGACTCCAGATGCTTTCCTGGCTTTTTTCCAATGATGTTCGAATCAGGGGTTGTTCAAACGAGCAAACAGTAGTTTTGTGGTTTACTCATAGAAAAAAATTGGGAGCTCTGGTATTTTTTTAGCACATATTACTAACAGGGTTCAAGAGGACTCTCTCCTCTGTCATGTGGTTCTGGCTGTGCATAAACACTGCTTTGACCAATAGGGGCAAATTTAGATACTTCCCAGAATGATTTGTTGCATTCTCACGACAGTTGAGATCTCAGACTGGATTAGATCCAGTGGGAAAATGTTTAGACAAAGTAGTGCACCAAACAACACTCTTGAGAGATGTGCCTGTGGTTTGCCTGTAGCAGAAAGTAAGGTTACAGAAAGACATTAAACAATCTCCTGTTATGATTGTGTGGTTCAGAATGAATGGTCTATTCACAGGGAATAATACTCCAAAGAGATTGCAGGCCAGAAAAATTGAGCAACCAGCAAATGTGCTCAGGATCTCTAACACCAACCATTTGGTTCGGTTCTAACTCAAATATGAGAGTCCGGAAACAGAAACCAGAGGAAGAGAAGAGGTACATGGGGAGACAAGAAAAGAAAGCTATTGCTTCAACCCCTCCTCCAAACACTCTCCCTCCTAGATTTTAGGTTTCAAGAGGCCTTAGGACAATATTTGGCTAAAAAGCCTGTATACCTCATTCAGTGATCAAACAGGAGAGGCAAGCATGTAGGGACTGGAAGTTAGAAACTGCAAATGCAGCATGAAATTCGAAGCAGGAAGATGGTCTTAGCACTTCTACAATGCTGCACAGCATAACCAGCAGGTTGAGAGAGCAACTATTGCATATATAAATATATATGTATATACAGATACAAGAGCTTCTTAGCAAAGTAAAACAGATGAAGAGTGAGAGCACTGTGATCCAAACCACCATGGGGGAGTACCAAGGGCACATGCTCACTGTTCTGAACGGATGAGCTGTAAGGTCCCTTCCAACCCAAACCAGGATGGAATGCTAGGAATATTTAGCTTTTCTTATACTCTTTTTTGCTGGAATGTTACCTAAAGCTGTTTAGAACCTAAAAGACGTAAGAAATTGAAATCATCTGGAAACATCTTCTTGTCTGCCATCCATCACATGTAACATTACAAAACCTAACTCACTGTTATTGTTAAACTGCTGTTAGATGTAGTGCTAGTTACTTTCATTCACATCTTTGCTGTGAATGCACAAAAGATCCTTTGTAAACCAGAGACTAATCAACAGCAAAAGATAAATAGCCAGAATATGTCAGAATGACTTAGTAGTTCTTAAGCTGTATGTCCTCCATTGCATGTTTATTCTCAGTGTTTAAATTCATTTCTAAGCCAGAGGTCAAAGTGAAACCTCTTGTATTTATTTTCATAGTGTGATGAAATAAGCAGAATGTCACGGTGTTACTCCATGGCAGATCATGTTAACTTACACTGCAAACAACTGCTTACACTTTCTCTGAGGTGGATTTTGAAGCAGTAACAGTACTAAGCTGAGACCACTTTTCTCAATGTGGGAAGCTGACGATCTTGGTGGCTCTGTGGACAATCTTGTTCAGGAAAGAGAGCTTAAACTTCAAGGTCCATGGGCAGAATGGTTCGTTTGATCAGGGTGGGAAAAGCTGTTAGTTAAAAAACAGAGATAAGAAATAGAGGATCTCTGAGCCAACAGCAGCAAACACAAAAACCTCCTTAAGCTTGTCAGAAATAGTTTCTACAGCTTTTAAGACCTAAGTGGGATTTTGGCATTACTGAAAAAGTATTTAAGCCTCTATTTAGCCTCTTCCTTTTGCGTCAGTGTAAGACACAGAGAGAGCTAGGAATGAAAAATGAATCAAAGAAACATGTCAGCCTCCTGTACTGGACCACATCATCACAAGGAGCATTACCTGAGGGGGTAACACTCAGCATCCCATGGCAGCTCTGGAAACACAGACAGTATCTCTATAAGAAGCAGGCAGTGCTCTTATAGGCAGAGACATAAGAAGTGAGAGGAACCTTGCAAAGAGGTCTTAAGACTGGTTAGCCTGACTTAGCAATACTGTGATGGGCTATTTTTATAACTCTAGTTAAAAAGTAACTGTAAAAACAGTTAAAGCTGAATTGCTACTTAAGAGACTTTAGTGTGGCAGTTGGTTCCACTATGGCTATCCAACTCATCTTACTTCTTCTGCATTAGATGAAAGGAATATGAACATGAACAGAAGTCTGTTACCAGAGCATTAATAATTTCTTTTCCTTTTTCAGAGGCAGGTATGTTTGAATGCACTCATCACTCTAAATGACTGCTTCTTACACCTTTGGAAACTAATACCTACTCAGTACACTACCAGGAGTTGCTCTTACTCATCCACATAAACATATTTCAGGGATGCACAACAGGATGCTACAGGAGTCTGGTATAATACAAAGTTGTAAAGCTGTGAGTAACATTCAACCCAGGTAACACCTTCAGCCTCTGATGAATACAGTGCAGATGCTCCCAGCATCTCTGTGACAAGCACATCTGTTGCTATTGGTCACATGCATCCTCTGGGGCTTGGGGATACACTCATGCTACCAGGAGTGGGAAGTGCAGATCTGGGAAAGACAAACGCACTCCAACAGAGGAAAGAGTTCAGCCCCTCTGAATTATGCAGGACACAGCAACATGCATTCAATTGCATGACACAAACCTACTGCAGCAGCAGGCAAAGTGCTATGGAATGCACTCAGCTAAGAGAAAAGGACATACCACCCCTCACTATCATTCTTGCCATGGTTGGCATATTTGAATGTATCATTATAATCATCCATTAACATGGACTGCACGTATCCTATAGCATTATCATCATCCATCACAGGCCTTACATGCTGTCACACCTTTGATACTTCTGCCATTACGCTGTATCACTCAACATGTTAACAACACTAACATAGATCAACAAACTCTGGTGTGTGCTCATCTCACAGGGCTGCCTTATCCTGTTTTAAACACAGTGACATTCAGCAATTCACATTGCTGACACCACAGACCACAGACCTGGGTGCTGTTATGATACAAGCTGTGGCTTATCCCAGACTCGGAATGCGAGGTGTGCAGGCAGCAAAGAAACTTGCTACTGCCCAATATTGTGGTGTGTTGTCCAAAAAAACCCCAGGTATTATATTACGCTTACATTTCCACTTTGGTTCCACTTTTGCTGTCTATTCTTTTTATTCCCCTTTCCCTTAACATTTCACCATTTTTTATTTCTCTGTAACATTTCAGTTTGCATTTCAAAGCACGCATATTCTTGGCCTTTGAAAACTCACCAAGAAATCACCTTTACTTCCCAAAGTGCAGACCCAGAGCACCAAAGGAGATTTGCTTGTTATCTTAATAGAATTCAGAAATTGCTCCACGAAAATCTGAGAATCAGCCCAAGTTAGACTTGGCATCTGCACAAGTAGCAGCTATTTTTTTGAATACTTTGACAACACTCTTATGTTATTGTCTCCCAGTTCATTTTCCTGCTCATGTATTCCCCAAAGAAGGAAAGAATGGTATTCCTGTGCACTGAATAAGGACATATTCTGCTTGTTAGAGAGAATTAATTCATTATTTTCCCTTCTCCTTGTTGGATCTTTGGATCATGACACTTCAAATCCTTCTAACTCCTGCTTTTCCACATGATGGCACAGATGTCATCCTACTGCCTCGAAGTAAAAGAAATAAGAACAAAACTTCAGCAGCAGAGTAGATCCTTGCTTTCAATCTTTGTCTTTTCAGCTGGAAATTGCAAAGACAGCCCTCAGAAATCACTGCAAGCCTCTTGGTTTCCTAAATCTAATTTAATAACACAGAAAAGCTGAGGTATTCAGTGCTGGCAGGAGCGATGCTGCAGTGCATAACCCCAGCTCCATCAGGCTCTACTTTGTTTCACCTGTGTGCATCTAGACACAAACGAAGGGCGAAGCATCAATAGGCTTGCTCTCCTCTAAAGCGGCTTCTGAAGGAACTCTGCAGTCAATTGAGAACACTTTAATTTTCTTTCTTCCATTTGATCTTCCCTGCCACATATTTTTCATATTACTCCTCACATTTTACTTCCATCTGTTTTCAGCTTTTGATTAGAAACTTGGAAGTTCAACTTTAACAGCTCAGTGCAGAGACCTGAACTGCTTCCAGACCTTTTCCTCCTTGCAGGATCTTAATTCAGTCGTATGGTTCTTTTTATTGTACCTCTGCCCACACTGGAGGCCATATCCTTAGTAAATGGTTTACAACTCTTGCAAAGAGCCCTCACGTCTGCAAACACAGGAGGGGTTTGTTATTCTGAAAGAAAACCTTCAAAACCAAATGGTATTACTTCAGAAAGTTTGCTATACACTGTATCATTATAGGGAAGCTGCAAATTGTCAGGTTCACCAAACAGAAACTCATTTAAATGTTAGTTAACAGCTTCACCAATAACAAAGGACCAAAGTACTTCAAATATCTGAACTCAATCCAGAATTCACTACAGAGACACCAAAACCCAATGGCCAAGCTACTGCTCAGGAACAGGAATTCAAAATGTGCAGTAATAGGCACTGTTTTGATGGGATAACCATGTCCTTCCTTGCGCAGGAACAAGACAAGCTGGCAGTCATGTAGTCAGGTCAGGAAGGGCTGGGGGACCATCCCATCTGCACCACTAAAATAGTATCATCTTTACCGTAACAGCATTAAACAGCACAGTGTCAGAACACAGACTGATCTCCATCGACTCAGCTGCGTGCACCAGGGATACCTCTGAGGTATACAACAGGCAGACACATAAACGCCCAACAGAAATGTGGATGTCAAGACACATCAGTGATTTAGGAACAGCAACTCTCCCCTAACATCTCAATTCCAGCTGAATAGCCACAAAGACTTAATTCTCAAGGACCCATGAAAGTCACGAATGAAAAGCAGAGAGAGGCCAACACTCGGAGCATGAGAAATGCTGTCATCTCAATCATCTTTTGAACAGCACCACAGACAGTTTTCAAAAGCATTCTGAAGCATCCATGAAAAGTTCTCTGGAACTGGACTGGAAATGCAGAAGACAGATAATTAAAAGGCATTCAACTGCTACTTATGAGAACAAAGCAGATTTAGACTTCCTACATTTCTGAGCAACCAAACCAAGAGAGCTAAATAAAGACAGAAAGCAGCATTCTGATCACAGTGCTAGGAAGAAGCAAGTGTCTGTACTCATCCTGCTTCTGTCACTTGTATATTTTTTGTCTACTTTCTGAGCCTGGTACTGCACTTTTATATTATTCTTTGCAATATTTGTTTGCAGACCTCACAGTTGAAAGATTTGACACATAAGTAGGACATATGAGGAGATACCCTGGCATTATCTCATGTTTACAACTCAGAGAGGGGTAAGAGAGCTCAAAGTTGGTCTGGATGGATCCCTAGAGATCCCCACCTTTCTTGGAAAACACAATCCAGAAGTGCCTGTGTGAGTGCTGTCACGTTCACCTCACAAGCATCTGCCCATAACACACAGTGTATTTGCCTCTTTTCCTAAAGCCTTCTCTACTCAGCTTGTAGCATCTCCCAGATTCTTCACTACAGACCTTACCTGCCGTTTACTTCCACGTGTGATGTTGCTTATTCTTACAAAAGTGCATGATCTTTTATGTCATTCCTAAGTTATAGCTGCTCTTTTAGAGGTTTTCTGTCAGTCATTTATAATCCTACTTCTGTCCTTCTCCATTCTGGCAGCTCTTTGCAGCCTGTTGTAATTCATAAATTGCTTACAAAGTTTCCATTACAGTGCGCACGTTATGTTCAGCAGAATACTGGCCAACAGCACATTCATTGCCATCTACCCCAGCAAATTCACTTGATACATCCTTGTATGTGCCAAGAAGCACAAGTAACCGATGCAGGCTATTTTACTGAAAACATTCAAGGAAAACCCCTCATTTTCCAGTAACTTGTCACAGATCTTTGGTCACATTTGTCTTTTCTTCAGCTATATAGTTTAGACAAAACCTGAAATGCTAATTCTTCATAACAGGTTACAATTTGGAAACCAGATCTGCTCCCATCTCTGCTCATTTGTTCTGATTCCCTCTTGTTCAAATCAAACCAGATGCTCTCACATGGTGGTGTTGTCAGCAGGTTTACTTTCTGCATGCTTTTCCACATTCAAACAGAGCACTACTCTGTGATGTAGCTGGAAAGCTGACAGTTCCACACATCCTAAGGCTCCTCATAGTCAGTCTCTATGTTTGACCTCAACAACTGGAAGGACTCCTACATTAAGAGCTCTGTAAAGAACTGTTTCTGTTTCTTATCTTCCAAATAAGTTTTTGCTCTAGTTCCTTCCTTTGTGTCAAATTCATCTCCCAGCTGCATGTGCAACCCAGCAGTTTTGGTCAGACTAATACTTACTATCCATTGTTCTGTTATTCTTCCTCGCTTCTCTTTTTCTTTCCACATTCTATGCCTTCTCTGATGCCAATTTCAGCTGTTTGTCTAAGAAAGCTCATGTTCCACACTGCAGACAGCAGCAGGCCACCCATGCAGTGGCACAGGAAGCCCAAAAGAAACTGTGCTATTAAATGGCTTAAGTACAATTAACTTAAGGATCATCTTGGAAGCACAATTCAACACCCCAGAATTTCACTAAACTTTCATTTCTCTATTCTGCCCCAAAACATTAAGACAGGAGGAACTTCACCACAAACTCCAAGTCACATTATTTGCTTTAAAATGCACATGTATATTTGAAAAACTCCACTTAGCAGAGGGGATTCCTTCTTAGTCCAGACACAAAAAGCTCCTCCTAGAGAGGCAAACACTCTTCAGTCTTAAAAGATAAGCTCCATTTTCTAAGCAGATAACGTTGTGCAGTTACACAATAATGCAAAAACCGTAGTGAGCATTAACCAGTACTTCACATCTTGGAATGAGTTTAGGCAACACACTTTTATCCTTACCCATGGAAAGGGGGTCAGAACTACATGACCTTTAAGGTCCATTACAACACATTCTTTGAATCTATGATTGAAAAGAGATAATAAAACTTGGAGAATTTGGGTACCTTGGGGTTCTACTGGTGTGCATTTATTACATGGATATACAGGATATATTGGGAAGTAACAGATTAGATCAACATGTCTGTAGTAAATAGTAGGTATGTGTCCCCATCCACTCAAATAGAGGTTTCAGGTTTCTGCACTAATCTCTTTAAGATCCCTTCCAACCTGAATCATTCTATGATAACCCAGTAGTACCCTACAGAGGAAACCCAGCATCTGCCACAAGACATTCTCCCTCTTTCCTCATCCATGGCATGGAGGTGCCCTTATTTCACTCTGTGTCTGGCTTGCTACTGGAGTCATATCAAAAGAGCACACCTTGCATTTGAATGGAATGCAAAGAGACCTGAGCTGGTTCCTAGATCCTGTGAGAGCTTGTCCAAGAGCCTTCAGCAGCTATTAGCAAAGCTTTATCCTCTGCACACAGTTTTTCCTTGCTATAAGCAACATCGCACACACATCAAACTCTCAAGTAACACGTCAAGCTACTGGGAACAGGAACATCTCTCCCTGTGACTTGATGCTCCTGAGGAAGCAAATGCAGGAAGTCCAAAGCAATAGGTCAGCAACACAGCTTTTTTGCAAGAAGCTTTTCCAGCTTCAAATTATTTAATGAGGGCAAAATGGCAGCCAATGAATTAAACACAACCACCTGGGCCAACCCACCTGGCTCTCAGTAAGGCTCCTCAGCCCCCTCTGATGAGAAAGCTATGTCTGTATGATGCCAGCCTTATCTGGAAGCCCATGCAGCTGGGAACTAACAAAATGAAATTACAACTTGGTTGGCTTTAAGTTTCTTTGCCCCAGGGAGGGCATCCTTTTGCCAACTGAACTAAGCTGAACTTGGTGAGCAGATACAGAAGAATACAGGGCAAGGAAGGATAAAGACAAGAGATTGTTTGAGAGATGGAAAAGATGGAAAGATTGGCCAGAAGTTCCCCTATGACTGGAGAGTGCAATTAGCAAAAGGTAGATGTTCCATGTAGATAAATGGAGTCTGTGTCCTTTGTAGGAAAACTACCTCACCAGAAGGCCTGTAAGTTACCCAGAAACTCAACTGCAGCTTGTAGCATCATTTCACTGACAACTGTGAGAGAAGACACCATGAACTGGTGTATCTGATGTCAGGGCATAAGAACTGTCTGAAACTCAGCCAGTCAAATAAAAGCCTGTTTTGGAGACAGCTGCCAATTCCCCAGCAAAGTTTGGTTTACAAATACATTACAGTCATCTGCTGGAAGTGCTTTTCCAGTTGTGCCTCCTGCTAACAATGGTTTCTATGAACAAGCAGAGAGTAAATGCTGAAGGAACCACCCTGCCCTGGGGCTGAGCTCCAGGACCTCAACCTCAAAGTGGTGGCTCCAGATGCTAATGGAGGCCTTGATCTCAGAGAGATATAAGTTCACTTTCTATAGTTTCTAAGTCAATAAAACTGCAGACAGTGAACAGGTTAATTTGGGGGTGTGTAAAATAGGGGGAACTGATGGGTGCTGTTAGTCCCTGGCTGCTGCTGGCAAGTTAAAAGCCCACAGTACCATCAATGGCGCAGTGTATCCATACACAGGTGATCCTGCTTTTTAATTCATGGAATTTTATGATTGCAGCTTTTTTTTTGTTTTGGTGAAGAAGGGAAACATCAGATTACAGAAAAAAGCTCGGAATTGTTATTTCCATAAACACTAAATACACAAAAACTATTTTTAAGAGGGCTACATGGATAAATCATGATCTGATTTATCAGTTCAGAGCACTTCAGCCAAGGGTTGTTGATTCTCAAAGATGGACAGTAGTTAAGCTCAAAGACCTTGTTTTCATTCTGCACTCCCAACGAACAATGAATACTTGGGCCATGATACCATCAAAAGCTCAAATCCTTATAGTACAGAACTTCTGCCTAAGAGCTCGTCTCAGTCTCCCCTGTTCTGGCAGGTTCAAGCCATTTCCCTTGGCCTGTCCCTACAAGCCCTTATCCAAAGCTCCTCTCCAGGTTTCTTGTAGCCCCTTTAGGCACTGGAGCTGCTCTGAGGTCTCCCCAGAGCCTTCTCTTCTCCAGGCTGAACCAGCCCAGGTCTCTCAGCCTGGCTCTGTAGGAGAAAGTGGTTTGTAATTTCCATAAAACCAATCAGTTTAGGGCATCACACTTGTACTTGGGGAGGGGACAGAACTGGAGCAAGAGCAATACAGCGACAGCAGACTCCAAAGAGCAGCCCAACTCTTTGGATATTAGCTCTATTTGAGACTAGATTTTATTTTAAACTCCCCAAATACCCCACATTTGTGTGGTTGATCTATGTACAAAGACAAAACACTACTGCAGCAATCTTTAGATTATTTTCATCCTAATTACTTACACTACTTAAAAGCCAAATTTATACCTAGAAATTCAGACCTACTGCCCCAGAGCTGCTCCTGAGGAAAATACTGATAAATCCTACAATTCCCCTGTTCAATTCTGTCCACTGCTGCTCCTGAGTAAGCATCCTACTACTATAGCCTTTACCTACTCTGCAAGAAACAGCTTAAGTGCCCTCTAGTGTGGTTTCAGAATACCTAGTCCATGCTTTTCCCAGTTCTGTGGGACTAAATGAGAGGATTTGTATTTGGATTAAAACGTTCTTAGAAGTCCACAGAACTTTAGGACGTAAGCCCCTCTGAAAAACATTTTCACAGACTGAAAAATTGATGGAAATTGTATTAATTTGTACATCTGTTGTTTGACAGTTACAGTCAGTTCACAGGCATGTCTGTACCTGCGTTACCCCAACATGCAGAAGAGCAAAAGTTACTGCACATGACTGGGTTTTGCATGACTGTTCTATCTGTTTATGAAGTAATGCTGCTGTTGGATTCTCTTTCTTGATATAGCTTGGTTTAGAACATCACCATTCTGGAAAAATATTATGGACCTTCTACTATAAAAAACATATATATAAATATATATGTAACATATATACTATAAAATATATTTAAGGACTGGAATGGTCTTTAAATATGGCTCTTCTAATATAAAATCCTGGCCAAGGCTGCCCAGAGAGGTGGTGGATATGCCATCCCTGGAGACACTCAAGCCCAGGTTCTGGATTGAATGTCTTCTGGATGTGGCTCTGGGCAACCTGATCTAGATGAAGATGCCCCTGCTCATTGCAGGGGGGTTAGATTAGATGAGCTTTGAAGATCCCTCCCAACCCAAACTATTCTGTGCTTCTATACATCTTACTCTTTCAGTTTCTTGTATGTCCAAACTTTTAATACAGATTTCTCAAAGTAAGTTTAATTATTTTTTTCTTTCTACTACATTTTATAGCTTTTTGGCCACAATAACAATTCTCTGAAACGCTTGAGTGATTCTTACTCTTCTGTGAATTCCTTTCCTGGCTGATTCAACCCTAAGAAATTTGGCCTTTTTTAAGCAGCTCACAGTATGAATAACGAAGATGCTTAGATCATCCCAGAGCACGTGTCCTGATGCTTTCCTGGCTGGGGTGCGCAGTCCTTGAAATTAGCTCCCTATTTAAGATGATATACTTGTTTGCTAGTACACACACCACGAAAGCTGACAGACTCAGCACCAACAGGTTTGGGTTTTCCAAAGTGAAGGTAGAAATGGGAATTATGCAGGCTGTGCATTAATATCATTGTATCAGACATCTTGCAGAGTAGTGAAATTCTCATAATGGACTTAAAAGAAGTGCCATATACACAAAGATATGTTCTGGTCTTACCAATGGCCCATCTACTTCTATTGATAGCTGCCAGTAAATGCTTAAGGAAAGAGCTTGAGATGGAAGTGTGAGAAGGAAGGGAATACTTCTCTAGTATTAGTCTCTGAAATTCAGTAATGTTTGTTTTAAGAAAAACAGGAAAACTTAGAAGAATGGAAATAAAGGACAGCTCAAACCATCCAGCTGTGGAATGACTTCAAAGGGACAGTGCTGTCATTTGGCTCATTTTTACACAAACAAATTCAAACACTAGAACTGGATCTCTGAAAATCTCCACTACAAACAGTAATGAAACTCCAGTACCTTTTCCACCATTTCCAGCACTCCATTCTATTCCATTCTTAGTGGCCTTTCCTGTTACTTCTAAGACCTGGGAAAATGTAGGAGTCTGTTTAAAACACTGGCAACTTTACTCCAGCAGCAGCAGCTGTGGCCTGGCCCAGCAGCTGTCCCTGACAGAGCTGTTCTCTTGTGGCACACACACGGCATCACAGTGTGACTGCATCAACAGATTTCCTGCAAATTCTGTTTCACGTCTTTTTATCCTTATCCTTCTATACCTTCTTTGCCTTGAGCTTCTGCATATGCTCCATCTTCATGCTGTATATGTGTCTGTGTCCCATTATGGCATTTGTAATGATACCTTCCCCTCCCACAGAATCAGGGAATGGTTTGGGCTGGAAAGGACCTTAAAGCTCATCCAGTTCCAATCCCATGGCACAGGCAGGGACCCCTTCCACTGGAGCAGGTTGCTCCAAGCCCCGTCCAGCCTGACCTTGAACACCGCCAGGGATGGGGCAGCCACAGCTCCTCTGGGCACCCTGTGCCACCACCTCACCACCCTTTAAGGACTTGTGATGTCTGCTGGGCTACCCCATTCTCCACCATAATGAGATGCAAGTGCTACTCAATCCCTGCTGCTTACAGTCTTCATCTTATGTTGCTGGAATGATCATGACAGCTCGAGGTATATCTGAACTGAAGCCAGAATCTGTTGGTGGGAGCACACCAGCTAATACATTGCTCATTCAGTGCCCAGGAGCTGACCCAATATACAGAACTCACTGGTGGAACTGTTATTTCTCATCATGTTACAAATCACCAGTGTCCTTTCTGTCAGTAAAGTGAAATGCAGAAAATATGTGGCACGTTTCACCACTGGGTTCTCTCATTTCACATTCCAGTCTTGATGCATTTTTGAAGGACCACAAGAATGTGTAGTTTAAAACCTGTCTAGTAAACTTCCTTGATCCCGAGACATACGCTTTGAATTTAAGTGACTTTCTGTTTTCAAGTGCCCTTTGGAACAGTTTCCTTTTCCGACTTGGCTCAACTAATTTTCAAATCAAGACAGCAGCAACAGCGTGTTCCATCCTATGATGCAGATTATGAGTCAGGTCCTTTGGGACCTCCGTGCTGATTGGGTGAAATTACATGTCCCCCAAGCAATTGACCCAGAAGTATTCCTGGAATGGCTGCAATGCTTGCAGGACTTCATAGTACCCTGAATCTCTGCTGTGGAAATACAGTACAGGAACACTAGTACTTTCCAGGCAGAGAACTGCACACCCTCTCCTAGATCCTGGCTTATAGCCCAGAGATTAGCAGAGCTTTTCATAGGCTTTCTCTAATGAACAGTCCCAGACCAGTATAAAATAAGTCACTCTGAGGCTCTTTTTTATGTCTTATTTTAGTTGCCTAAGGAGAACAGATTTTTTACATGGGTGTAAACCACCAGGCTGAGCTGGGACAAGTACTCAAGAACTTAGGGTTCTGGGATCACTCCAGTAGCTCTGTCTCTGCAGAAAGTCTCCACTTTCATGCTGGGCCTCACACTCATCGTGATATGTGACATGTG